GACTATTGAGAACGAGCCCACTGATAACACCCGCGAAACCAAGGATGAACCCTAACGATTGAATAGTTATGTGAGAGTAAAACCAGATTGGATCATATTGCCTCAAGTATCTAGCTGCCATGACCCCAATTGGCATGAGAATTCCCCATCCAAACATATTTAGAAGTCCATGGCTTCTCCTCAGGTTTGCATATAGGGTCTTTGTTTCACTTTGACCTGTTTTACAACAACATGACAAGCATATGAAATTAATACACAATACATAAAACAGTAACTGAGTTCACAGTCAAATAATTAGTGTATTTCTTGATAAGAAAAAATTATTGGGTTTAGGTGAACTCGTAACGTATAAGCTACCTCCACCCTTGCTTCATTTTATGTGACAACATTTGAGCAGAAGTTAAACAATTGGGATGCATAACAGAAGGTTTCTGCAAGTACTAAAATTACATTGTAGGTTGTGAGAGTTTTACATTTTCATCATAATAACAAGGTGAATTTTTGTACCAAGTATGTCCTAACGAATCATGTCATCATCGTTTCCCAAACATAGAAATGTGACACTCTTTTTAGGATGAGTTAAAAAAAAGTGGTACATAAAAGAGGACGGAGAGAGTACTTAAAAGGATTCGATCAAACAAATTTATTTTATATTTTTAAAAAAACAGGAAAAAGCATAAGTTATATCTACCCCATTTAAAATAAAATTCAGCATCATGCTATTATTGAATCCAGTTCAATCAACAAACTAGACATTATTCTATTAAGATGTTATACCTACTACTTCACCATAGTACTTTAATTTTCTTCTTTCCAAACTGAGATTTGCTTTGTCTTAAAAGAAATTAAAATACACATTTAGTTTGTTAGTCATGAGATGCCAACTATTTTGGCTTATACAAATAGTTGATTGATTGAATTGTACGTATTGAGATTAGGAAGCACTTTTTTTTTTCTTAAAGAAAACTTAACAAACAACATTGGCTTCCAACCACAAAAAAATGTGGTGCAGTGTATGAGGCTGCTCCTTCTTTAATCATAGATCTCGAGTTTGAGTGCTAGATATGAAAAATCTCTGGTAAGGAGTGTTACCCCAAATCGAACCCTACCCGACACAAATAATTAATCAGACTCCAAAATAAATATCGAACCTCTTCCACTTCCTAAAGTCAAAGACGTAAAATCTACATGTGTTTGTTGGTACTTAAAACATTATTATTGTTATGACTAGAATATAAAGTAATTGATACATTTGTTGGTGCAGGGCAACTATCTTCTTACTCTTTTAGACCAATTATGATTGCCTTCATTAGAAGCTGCTCGTGGAACCCACCCACCACTACTAGTCTCCCTACTAGAAAGACTTTTTCTTTTTTTGGGATATAATTCAAAGTAGTCATATTCTGGATTGTTGTTGAAAAATGATCAAAACTTCACAAGTTCATGAAAAATTAGGCAATTTTTGGAATTCATAACTCTGTCATGGATTTCAAATATCATGACTATATCTTAGATTTTACACTTACTAAAGTTTGAAATTCATGGCAATGCTATAATATTGTTGTATCAAAATTGTTATTTTTCAACGAACTATTAGATACTGGCTGGTTTATTTTCCAAAAATAGTACGCAATGTGGCAAGATAGTAATTTTGTCATTTTTTCTCTTCACTCGGTGTTTGGTATCTGGATTCAAGTTCCAATTATGAATTTGCATTGCGTAAGACGAGGAAACACTTCTCAGTTCATACATGGATTTTTCATACCAAGGATGACTCGAACCTGAAGGGATACACAACTATTAAGTAGAATGAATCATATTCATCCCGCCACTATTTTTCAATGGTCCGTCATAGTAATAGACTCGCAATACCAACTAATACTAATCAACTTACAAGGGGCCTCTTTTTATTTTTTTATTTTTTATGACGGTGGTGTTTGATCAATTTTCACATACTTCGACTAATTTCATGGAATACCTATCACCTCCCGTCAATAGCATGTATCGAGTAACTTTGTCCACCAAGACTAGGACACGTGAGAAGAATTACCTAGTATTTTTATCTCTATGAAATTTCAACCTAAAACCTCTCTCAACGACTTTATTGATCACCAAGTCACCACCGTTGGTGCAACTAAGGAAGGGACTTTTTGATTTGTTTTTTTTTAAACAAAATTAACTTTAAAAAACAAAATACTCCATGAGAGAGCATTTTTAAAACATTTGTGTGATTTTACATTATATCAAAATTTGAAATAATTTGTGTGATATAAGACAATCAAATTAAGTCCATACAATAACAAGACAATAAAATTCGAACTACATCCATTCACTAACCTGTGTTGTAATCCAAGGAAGTAGATGTATGATCCTGGTGTTCCGTCAACCGGTAATTGGCGGTGGACGGCAGCATTCCCGACGGTCCGACGGAGTAAATGAGCCGATTACTGGGCATTTCAGTGTTCAACTGAAAGGCCAAATAGATTCTCGAGTTTTCAGCTACGACGGAGGATGTAAAGTTGACAAGCTGGAGATTTCCTTCATCAGGCAACACCTGATCGGAAATTCAAAATCTAAAGTTAATTCGATTCAGAATAAATATGATATTATTATACTTATACAGTTAAATTTAAAAAAAATTATATATACATAATTCGAGCAAAAAACAACGGTAACCAGTCCTAGATCGGACTAGAAACATACCTGATTCGGCGATTGACCGCCGAGAAAATACTTCTTCATAGTGGCAGTTCCGTCATTAGAGACCCAACCAACAATTGCAGTTGAGCCAACCATTTTTCCCTTTTCTGAAAATCCCATAGCAATATATGAATTTGTGTTTGGTGCTGAGAGAACATAACTCCATACATTTGTATCTGTTCTCATATACTTGAAACAGAGAAAAAAAAAGTAAGGAAGAAAATGTTAATGAGATATCACTACTAAAAAAATCCCTAATCTACGATCGAAAATTAGCGAATTCTGATAGTAATAATGAAGGAAATTGTACTCTGAGGATGTAGTCTTGTTGATTCCATACTGTAAGACAATGGAAGGAAGTTGTATCGAAGAGAATTTCGCTTTTAAGTTTGAGATTCGAATTGCACGAATCTGTACTGCTGCCTTGAGAATTTACTTTCGAAATTTGGGAACTGATAAATATTATTAGAAAGATGATGAAGTAGAAGGAGGCAGAGAATTTGAAAGATGCCTTCATCTTTTCAACTTTTTCTCTCTCACACTCTGTTTCTTTGTGGCAAATAAGTGGGAGAGATGATTGTAATGGGGAAGTAGTGGCCTAGTTGGTTAAGTGTATGGTGGTTATATGTAATGAAATATGTACGGGTTGAATTATTCATCTATTTATTGATTCAACAAACAAATCAAATATTATAACTCAACTTGTCAAAATGTAACATAATTCTATATGTACAAAATCAAATTGGTAGATTTGGGATTATGTTAATTTGAAGGAGCAAAGTTGGATCATATTAAATGATGATTCGTTACTTGATCCGAGCAAACACTGAAAAAGTATAAGTCATACTAGTATGTTAATTGAATTAACCTATTTTTATGACAATTAAATTTGATTCAATTTATTCATTTAACGCCTCTAATTAATTTATATATTCTAATTAACTTAGATTTGAGACTTGGTTCATTGATCGACTAACATGATGTCTCAAAGTGCCAATATTAAATAAAAATGGTATCATTAAGTAATATCTTGATGTAAAGATTACTTATGTATCTTCCTTCGTACTTAGGCATTTTGATTTTTGAATGAGAATCACAATAATGAATATTTGATGGTCTATAAGGACTGATCAAATTAAAAGTAACATATTAATCAGTTTTCTTTGTTGTGACACTATACAATTAACTTATTAACTTTTGTTCAATAATTTACAAACTTAAGAAAAAATATAAATTGTACAAGATAAGTCTAATTGGACGAGCTCAATTAAGAAGACATTAACCGAAGAAATCAATTTGTGACCTCCATTTTGAAATACCAAATGTAGGGTTGGCAAGGGGACCAGGTCGGCCCTCCGCGGCCCGCGACCGGCTCACCGGACCCGGTCCCGTATCATTTCGCGGGTTAGGGGGACTTCAGGATAGAGGACCGGT